TTCTCACAGAAGCCACCCCTGTAGCCCCACTGTTACCAAAACCTTGCCGTGCAAACCCAATACACTGGAGCAAACCTTGAGGAAAAAAAATTGTCCTATGTTAAATTAAGTGTCTGTCTTTCACCTTCAGGACATTTCTTATCTTCCCTTGCAGATGCCATCAAGCGGTGGTGCAGGTTTTCATAAAATGAGCCTTCCCCACCCTCCAACTATGCAATGCCTGTCAGCTGAGCGGGGCACATCATTGCAGATATCTGAGTTTGGCAGCTGTCATTATGCCTTCAAAAATAGCTGGGCAGCACTGGTACACAGTGGTGGGCTTTCTGCTATGAATCTGAAGGCCCTTGTGGAGTAGCTGTTGTGGTAGGGGCTGCTGCCATGTAGTGTCTGCTCCACACAAGGCTCACTGCTGCCCCTCCTATCCAGTAGGATCATTTGACTCCAAATTAACCAGATCATCATGGACTTACTAATTTTCATATTGTTGATACAGACCCTTCTTATTTTTACTGCTGTGTAACACAAGCGGTCCAGGCTGCAAATTTTTGCACTCAGTAACTTGCTGGCATGAAGACAGCGTGTGAGCGTCTGAGGAGGGTGACCTGTTCAGCAAACACAGCTTTTCATTGCAGCTCTTCTCTGCTTCAGACATGACTGCCAAAAGGCATTTTGCTGGCAAACTGAAGAAGCAAAACCTGTATTTGCAAGTCATCTACTTATCAGTGTTATATAAACATTTTCTACAGACCTTTTCTTGTCCTAAGAAAAGAGAGGGTTTGAGTTCTGGGATTATTTTTCATTGTCAGCTTAGTTTGCCATTTGTGGAAGCCTTTATAACTGTACATAACCCCCCCACCTTTCCCTGACAAATATTGCATCTCCACTACAGAGCTGTTTGCATAGCCACAGAAGCAGCAATGCTTTAGAAAAATGCAACCACATTTTGCGTCAGGATTTTTTTTAAAAAAGTAATGCAAATTAGTTAAACTCTGAAAAAAAAAAAAAAGCTTGAAAGACTTGTGACTACAGAGTGCAATTAAAAAGCAATTCTGTGCCCTCAGTGAGCCACCAGCACTAACTAGCCCATGCAGGATTCCTGGGTCAGGCACAGGATACATCCAGTTGCCCTCTGGGCCAGTTCCAGTTCCAGCTTCAGAAGTGTGTATGGGAATTCTGCCATGGTACAAGCAGGGTCATGCATTCCCCTACGTGAGGACTCACAATTAAAATCAGAAATTAACTGAGGTGCTGTAGCATGAGTGTGAGTATCTCTTTTCTTTCAGCAGCAGTGTACTTGGTAAGGCCATGAATGCCG